AAAAGCATATTAATAATAACAACAGTGTATCTTAGAGGGATGGTGAGTTAAGAGATGAAAAACATTTTGAATAGTATCTATTATCTCAGACAACCAACTGAAATCATTATTGTCAAGTCAATTTTAACTCATGAAGATCCTATAGAAGGAGTAGAACTACTCCATAGAGTTTTCAAGGCTATAAATCTTTACAAAAACAGACAGCCATGTCTTTCTCCCTCCTGACATCTGGAAAGAGTTTGGTACATGCTAATTATTAAAGTTACTATTTCTTAATTGCTAGGGGAGTTTATACTAGAAGCAATGTCTAAGAGTAAGAATCCAAACCAAAAATCAAACCCAGTGCCACTGAGTACACTAACTCTGACCCATATCAAGCCTCTACAACAGAGAAGGACTGCCTCACTTAATTTCCAAGACTTCTCTTTACAAAAGTAGATTGCAACATCTTTCTTCCTTGGATCAGCTGGTAGATCAGGAGTACTAATCTTTCATTCAGTAGTCAATCATTTACCCACTGTGCAACCAGGGGTCATGTAAGACTAAGAATGTTGTTTTGTTTTTTTTTAATTTTATTTTATTATTTTTGTGTACATGTACCATCAAATTAGATCTGACTGGTACAGGAGATTGCCCCTCCTTCCTCCGCAGAGCATCTGGTGGATTCGAACCGTGCACCCCTGGGATTGTAGTTGCAGCTTCTTGCCACTAGGCCACCAGAGCTCCCAAGAATGTTGTTTTTGTTAAGTGTTGTCAAATCAGAATTTATTTATCGCTGACCTTCCTGTGAGTTCCCAGAGGCCATAAATTGCAGGGGGAAAGATTGCCCGTCTTTCTCCCTCAGAACAGTTGGTGAGTTTGACCTCTGCCTTTGTGCTTACTATTATTAGGTCACCGAGGAAGGACAGAACCCAGTTTAGGCCAAGAAATACAGTTTATTGAGGAGAAACTGCAGGGCTGAATCTAAAGCAGAATCTAGCACCAACCGAAAGTTACAGTGGAGTTTTATATTGTTTTACAAGGAAATTGGGAGTTAGGATGTTCACAGGTGCTTGGTACGAGATAAGGGAGACGCCGGCGGTCATGAATCCTTCTTCCAGGGAAAGGGAGGTGAAAGAGTTTTGCAGCTCTAACAGAGACAAGCAGAGTTGCAGCTGCTACTCTGATCATGCCTGTGGCTGTTCTGGGGAAAGGGGAGGGAGAGCAGCTCCGCAGCCTTGACGCTTACCTCTAGGACCACCAGAGCTGGTCTAAGTAAGAATACAGAAAACAGCTCTGGTATGTTCACATAATGGAATACTACGCTGCATTGAAACACAAGGAATTCATGCAATATTATTCAAAATGGGTGACCCTGGAGGACATTATGCTGAGTGAAATATCTCAGTCACAAAAGGACAAACACTGCATAGTGCCACTATTGTAGAACGGGACTGACATCAGGGTTGGGGTGAGACTGAGAAAACTGGATAAATTATGCATACTGCATTGAAACACAAG